TGAACTTTGTTTGCATTGTGTACAAGATAAGGAGAACAGGATCTGAGTGAGGCTGAATGAGTCGTTCACATATCAAGTAAATCAGCTTAGCGCACCACTTCCGGTTGGTTTAGCACATCTCAGTTAGGGCCTTTTCACATTCTTTTTGCTGACTTCTGTTTCCTGTCTGTGTTGGATATGTGGATAACGGAATTCTAGATGTGGAATGCTGTATGCAATTTTTAAAAAACATATACTACCAGTGTGCAAAGCTCACATTTGTAGTGAAGATGGCAGAGAAAATATGTCACCCACTGACTCAGGCATTTATTGAACGATGCGTATGAGCCGCCGTCCTGGAGAAGGTGGAAGAAGTGACTCCTGGGCATCCTCCTAGAGGTGAGCCATTGTAATCCAATGTAAGAGTATGGAATGACTCTTAGGAAGAGATTATGTCATTATTTCAAGGGGCACTGGGAGTGGGGGAAGTGGGAGGCAAAAGGACCCTTTGCGAGGGAAATTGGAATAGTGAATTTCTTTTCCACCAAGAGTTCTTTGAAAAAGTTGTATATCTCTTTAATTGGAGTAGGTGCCTTAGCAACGGCCTCAGGAACCTAACCCCCAGCGTTTAGGATGTTGCGCCATGTGCTTCTGCAGATCAGCACGTAGGACCAGTGTGTATGTTGTCGGTGTGTTCGGCGTCTGGGGACGTCCTTCGTTCCAGCCTCGGCCAACACCTACCTAGTCAGAACTGTGGGGAGAGTGCTGCACTACTAGGAGTGGCCTGAAGATGGCAGCGTTGGGCGGCCCAGCCCGTCTTCCTGCGCACTCGCCTTCGTGCGCATCCTCCGGCCGCCTCCACAGCACTCTGGATTTCAGGGTGTCACTCAGACTTTCTTCTGCTTAATGACGTAAATGACTCTCCTTTTCTTCTGCGGAAAAGGTTGGGTCTATCATTCCTGTTTTGATTTTCAGTTGATGGTTATATGTAATTATATTCAAATAAAATATTTATAAATAATTACATATAATTAGCAGTATGTAAAATTTGGAACTCATAAAACTCAGCTCTGATGAAAGGCGCCCTTCAGTTTGGGAGGTGCTAGTCTTAGTATTATTACTTGTTTCTGTTTAAAAGATGTTAGTGGCCAGGAAGCTGCAATTCTCTTTCACAGATGTTCTTATAAGGCTCAGGGTTTTGTTTTTATTTTTTTGATAATAGGTAGGTCCGAATTTATTTGGTAAATCTGTAGGAAATATAGATCTACATCGAGAGTGCTCTGAGGAAAACAAATTGTACTTTCTTAAAATTTCAAGAAGCAGTTAGTTATCCTTGAATGCTAAAGGGTCTTCAGGGGGTCATCCAGTCCGGTCTGAGCAGGCTTTGCATTTACAGCCAGACAGAAGCGCGCAGCTGCTCTCCATCGCTGTCAGCGACCATGACCAGGCAGTCTGCATTCTGAGATCTCCATCAGTATTAAAAACAGAAAGGGAAAAATTATCCTGAGCAAGTCCGAAATTCAAATGTTGTCAACACCTGAGGTTTAGGTGCATTTTACTATTTCTCTTTCTCTGTTAGACACACATGCAGCTGCAAATGGACAGCTGTCTCTAAGCGAAAGGTCGAATTCTCCCGCAAGAGGGGGCCTAGAAGCAGCATCTAGGCACCTTCCTTGCTGGAGGATAGAAGGAAAGCCAAAAGGAAAGGTAGCTAGGGAGTGAGCAGATGAAGCTGTGTAAAGTCGGAGTTTCTGGAAGGACTCCCAGATGAGGTCTGTGGCCAGAGCGCATCGTGAGTGATGGCCGGAGGCTGTGCGCTCTTTCCTCTGGGGTTGCCCTGATTCTGGAAGCGCATGGACCAAAAACACGCTGATAGACTTAGCTTTGAGTCTTTAGTCAAACTGATGCAAACTTTTTTGTTTCTGCCTTAAAACAGGATGGCAGGCCCAGCCCGTGTGAAGCCTACGTGTGTGGCACACTAGCTTGTCAGGGGCTCTCTCAGCTGTTTGGATTTAGATCGTAGCCATGACCGCGCGTTGTGCGTGCACTGACAGAGCACAAGGAAGATTAAACTAATCTTCATGGGCTGACCTAAATGCTCCTGTCGCTGTGTCCACGGGGCTGTTTTGGAGACTTTTGAACGTGACAGCACATTTCTTCACAAACCCTTCTGTGTCCACTATTAAGGTTCCGAGAATTTCACGTCATGCTGTAAACACAATAGGAATTAGGGAAATCAGCCACAGACACGCTGAGAAGATGATGCGAGTCTAGTTTTCCTCCATAAGGACTTTTATTTCCCAATTTTTTGTTTGTAAGGGAAAATCATGCATCTATTAATCTTTTGCCTAGAAACTTTAAAACGCGACAGATGTCGAGCTCTTTAAAGTACTGAGCTTGAGACCTCTTAAATGTCACCATCTAGACTGGTCCTGGGTAAATCACTTCATCTCTAAACTTGAGTTTTCCTTTTGGCAAAATAGGAGACTGAACTTCCAGGCCTCCCCTTCTGTGACTGTGGCATCGCTTCTCTTCGTTGTGCCCAGGATTGTGCAAAATGTTTTGGAGGACAGACTTGAGGGCTGCATTTTAACTTTTCAATGCATCTTCACATCTCTTATTTTGGTTCTTCTCTTCAGCCTCTGTGATATTGACTTCTCTCCAATCCCCTGCTACCCCTGGCCCAAGTCGTATTCTGAGTCACTCACTACCTTGTCTCTTGGCTGCCGCTGCCCTCTCATCGGCCCCTCTGTGTTCACTCTTGCCCCCGATACAAGTGCCCCCAGCACCAGTGTGATCTTTTGAAAACTAAATGAGAACATATCTCTCTCCTGCCTAAAACCCTTCCTGTTGCCCTTGGAAATATAAATCTATTCCTGCCTCAGGGCCTTTGCGCTTGCTATTTCCTCTACTGGGAACAATCTTTCCTCTAGGTCTTTGCACAACTGGCTTTTTCATTTCTTACCAAAAGGCTGCTTTTTAGGCAGGTTACAGTTTAAATATCACTCTCTCAGAGAGGCCTTCCCTGACCACTCTATCTAAAATAGTCATGTCCTCTGCTTAACATCTGACACATTACATGGTTTTGTTATTTATGTAACGTATTTATCCTGTGTCTTGACTTTTGTTGTTGTTGTCATTGTTGCCTGTCTCATCTCAGCAGCCTGTCTGTTTCTTGGGACCAGGGCCCTTGTTGCCTCGTTCATCACACGTTCTCGGGAGCTGCATAGAGTCTGGCATATGACAGGTGCTCAGGGTGTGTTTGTGGAGTCAGGCAGGAGGGCGCCACCCTGCAGAGGTTGTGGCTACAAGCGAACCAGGAGCAGGGCCAAGGCTAGAACTCAAGCCTCCTCATGTGTTTCTTTCCTCCAGGTCGCGCTGTCACACAACAAGCCTAACTTAGACTTTTTCCATTCACTATTTGCTCATTTATTCTCCAAATAGTTACTGAGCTCTTATTATGTTTCAGACGCTATTCTATACCAATGGTTCTCAACCAGGAGTGATGCTACTCCCCTGGGAACATTTTTCAGTATCTAGAGACATTTTTGGTTGTTACAATTGGGGTTGGGGGGTGCTACTGGTGTCTACTGGGTAGAGGCCAGGGATGCTGCTAAACGTCCCATAGCGTATGGGACAGCCCCCAACAGAGAATTACCCAACCAATACGTCAGTGGTGCTGAGGTTGGGGAACCCTGTTCTAGATGAATAGACAGCTCTGTACACCCCTGGAGTTTGTAGCCCAGGGTGAGGAGACGGAGGAGAAATAGTCCATGTCCTACATGAAGAAATGAAAGGCCATGTCAAAGAAGCGGTGTGGTGGGGAAGTTGGAAGAGAGTAAGGAGGCGGATGCGACAGAGGCAGGAGAGGCTGGAAGTTCAGCCTCTGTGGGAGGTGAGTGAGGAAAGAAAATTTTGCCTCTGGAGGTTCAGCTCCAGGGCCTGGAAGGATCAGTGCTCCGGGTCCAGCCGGTGCTGCAGAGCGTCGGGCCCTCAGCTCCGAGATCAACCTCACATGTGAAACAGGAAACCCGCAGCCTCCGAACAAAGATAGAGCAACCTGCCTGGGCCAGAGGAGTGGTTATGTTCCTCCCCTGCGGGAGCGTTTGTGTCCTCCTCTTTCTCAGCATTCAGCGCTCTGCCGCCACCAACCCAGGATAGTGTTCGGCACACGCGATTTTCCTTGCTCACTGCCAGCGTCTCACTTTCCTCAGAGCGGCAGCGGCGTGGTTCCAGCCTCTCAAGGCCGTTGGGAGGCTGTTGGATGTAGAGAGGTTTCTGTCTGTCCAGGTTGATTTCTAAATTCAGACAAAACAATTGTAGACTTTATCATCTTGGAAAAACTGTAGTAGTTGATGCTGATAAAACTCAGGCCAATGAAATGGTTTTTACTATATATATTTATATATATATGTACATATACGTATATATGTATGAATGCGTGCATACCTAGATATACTTTTAAGATTTCACTAAAAAAGTGGTAATTTTGTAGGCACACACTTGTGCTTTTTGTCTCTCTGTTTCTTTACCAAACATTGGCACCTAGTAGGTACTCAACAAAGGTTTGTTGAATGAATAAACTGCAAAAATCAGTTTGGAATTACTGAATTCCAAGTTATTTTTCTACATTTGTATGAACTTATTTATGTCACTGAAACACAACTTGGTACGTACAGTAGCATATTCTCATGGTGTTATCACTATGACATATTCATTCATTTCTAAATCTGTGTTTTTTTATTTTTAAAATTATTGAAGGGGATATGATTTCACGCATAGGGTTTCTGAATCCAGGAAGTGTAAATTCTTAGTGATTATAGTTTTTTTGTACACTTTTAACCTGGGGAGGGATTATTAAACAAGCAAATAGATTTCAATAAATGTTCTTAATTCAAATGTATTTAAATGGACAGTGTTGAAGAAGTTATGCACTGTGCGCTGTTTTATTTTGGTGCCATTTTATTCTGTAGAAGAGTTTGCTGGCCCTTTCACTGGACGTGTGTCCATTTTCTTTTCAGTGCTATTTCTTCACCATCGAGTTTGGCCTTTGTAAGCAGGAAGGACAGCTGAGGGCGTACGGAGCGGGGCTGCTGTCCTCCATCGGAGAGCTGAAGGTATGGCGCACAGAGGGAATGCCTTCCACGTGCACAGGGGACGGTCAGGGAAGACAGTGATTGGTTTGTACGAGCGTTTCTACTCCCAGATACCTCATAAACATTTCATACAGAGGATTTGGCACCTCAGATGTGGGTGCTGACCTAACCTTTTGCACTTCTGAAAATGGGTCAGGCCTTTCTGGGTTTGTGGTGTGACTCAGACGGGTGAGCAGCCGTGGGCACAGATCGACAGGAATGACAAGCGTGTGCTCAGATGTTGGCTAGTAAGCGACTGGCCTAAACTGAGTGCTGATAAGTGGGTGGTGAGCTGGCAGGGACCCTGCTGGCTGGAAGGCCCTTGTTGGGGTGGCTTGTCTGCTCTTGTTTCTGCCCCACCCGTGGCTCCCATGGACTCCTCAGCATTTACTTCCCAAGGGGAAATCTGAGATTATTTTAGCTTTTTCAAAATTAATATGTATTAAAACATTTGTGGATATATACAATCTGAAAAAAAAACTAAATAAACATATGATCACAGAGGTATCTAATGCGCATAGTGATGCCTAATAAACGCTATTTTTTTGCCTTATAATATAGTAAAATGATAATTTATCCAGAAATGTTGGGGCCCAGGGCATTTTGATAATTTAAATATTCTGGTCATTTAAGAATTGCTGTCTATACCACTAGGGGACAGCAAGTTTTCATGAATTTAGAATGCAATGTGATATATAATCTGGAAGTGGCACTGAAAGAATTTAATCCTTTTTTGATCATTTGGACTAAGATCAGGATCATAGACTAACCTAGAGTTTTTACTTTGTCTTGATTGTCCTTACATAATGTAATTGTAAACTATGTGATTATTAGAACTTTCTGGTTGTTTGCGCTCTGGAAAGATGCAATGTAACTGGAGTTTTATTGAGTTTGCTCCCTTTTATGACTTTACTCACTCATTCATTCATTCCTCAGACATTTGGTTGAGCGGCTATGATGAGTCATATACTGGGCCAGGCACCGGGGATACAAAGACAAATAATAATAATGAAGAAGAAGAATATGAAGACAATAACAACTACTCAACAGACACTAAAATAGACTTTAGTTAATTTTAGGTGCTTTAGACCATTTGCTTAATTAATTCTCATAACAGCCCAATGAGACAAGCAATGTTATTATTACAGGTGAGAAAACTGAGGCAAAGAGACCTTAAGGAACTTGCTCAAGGTCATGCAGCTAGTAGTCATTGGAGCTGGGCCCAAATCCAGGTGATCTAGACTCCAGGATCTGAGCCCTTAACCATTAGGTTGCACTACCTGGGGCCCCTGTTATCAAGGAATTTACATTCTAGTGCAAGAGATAACACAAACAGTGTGACAAATATGGGTGGCACATATTAGACCATGCCTGGGAAGCCCTCGCTGGTTCCTGAGCGTGGAAACGTGCTAAGGAAAGGACGAGATGCACAGATCACTCAGCGCACAGCAGCATGTGCTCTAGTCAAAGCCCGGCCCGTTTAGGGAGCTGCCTGAGGCTTGGCATGGCTAGAATAGATGATGATATTTAACATGACAAAAGCCTCATGTAATGTGGTACATTTTCTTTTTACTAAATTCTCAAGAAAAAAATCCATTTGGGGTCCATCTCAGTGGAGTGGCAAAGCCCACAGCAATAGCATGAGGTCGTATCCCGTTAAGACCCACACCTTCCAGAGAGTGCCTCTTGATTTCCCCGAAAAAAGAATTAGTCAGAAAATGATGCAGGTCTTGAGCTACACTATTTATGTCTTCCTTAGAGGCTTTATGAATTACACCAGAAACAAAAGAAACCAGTCCCTCTCCTTGCCTGGCTCTCGGCAGGGTCGTCTGGTCTGGTTAATGGAGCATGTGTTGGCAGCATTGGTGTGAATCTGTTGTTTTTGTTCCTATTGGTGCAGACAGAATCGTCTGGAAATGGAAATCAGCCAGAAATATGCACACTGAAGGGCATCGTCTGCCCTTCCTGTTCTGGTCCATCACCTCCAGTCATTAGCATTCTTCCATTCTCAAATTTCAACACTCCAACATCCCTATGATTGCTACTTTAGGCCATTTGTACAATTCAGAAATTCCTTCTCCAGGGACCATCTTCCGATCGCTCACAGAGAACACATTATGTGAGATGCTCTCCGCAGCGCCTGTTCCCTCACCCCGTCCGGGTCCAGCACCCGGGGCGTCCAGAGCCCTCTCGTGGAGTCTCAGCACTCCTGTCTAACTTTTATCTGAATGAACAAGTGGGAGTCCTGGACCCCGGTGGGGGCAGCTTTATTAATAGCCTTATAGCAATTCCTGTGTAAACATGCTTACAATTTTGAATGCAGTTATCTTTCACGATAAAACATTATTACTTATTTTTTGTGATAAAATACTTTTGCTGTCCCAACTACAGCCCGAACATAGGTCCCAGCTAACTTGTTGGAGATTTTGGTGTAGTCTTTATAACTTTTGCATAAATATCCACAATTCTCCTTGAAAAGAATCCATTTTTAAAATTTGTGCTTTAGGAGGCTAAATTTTCTTGGGGTAGGTGTTGCACTTCAGAGCTGCCCAGGTACTTCCAAACCGTATATCTGTAGTTTGGGGAATAACTTTCATTTTCCCCTCTTATTTTTTGACAGTGCTTATTTTTATCTTAGAAAACACAAAGAAAATAGATATGGAAAAGCTTATGAAAGCTCATATAAATCTGATAACCGTTAGGACTATTTTTTTTACCTCAGCAGCGATCGCGCTCTTTGGTTCTGGTTTCCTTTTCTGTGGTGCATTTTCAGGATTCCAAAACTGTGTTTGTAGGGCGTTTCCACCCCTTCATCACTGTGGAGACCAGTTAATAATGAGCTAAATCGTCTGGAGATGGATTTTTAAAAAGGTTGAAAATAGGATAATTACTATTCACCCACAGCCTGGCATGTGTTTCCTTTCACACGCTTTTTCTCTCTATCCCGGAGTGGACCTAACTATAATTTAAATTTAAATTTATTATTTGCTCATTCATTCATTCATTTTATTCAACAAACCCCAAGTCGCAGGTCTAAGTTTCAGGGGAGTGGCGTCTATAGGGGGAGGTTCTAAACAGTGACTGAGCCGGTCTGGGTTGAATCCAGTTTGCTTGGCGCACCAATAGTGAAGGGAATGTTCACCTGAGGTGGTAAGGAAATACTTGATAATTGATGAATTGGCTGAGTCTTATCTCAAAAAGTTGACCCATCTCAAAAGCGAAAGGCCATTTCTTCTTCTTTTTCATGGCTCAGGGTAAGGTCGGATTCTTCATTTCCTTAGGGCAGACATTAGATTGTTTTGTAAATGGCCTTAGAACCTACTCCATAGTAGTTGCTAGAATGTTGCATATAAATACATCTGCTCTGCTTTTCAGGTTTGGAGAAAGCTGGTGGTTTTAAACAATTTTATTATTATTATTATTTGGCTTTAGTTTCAGGATATCCTTAAACAGTGAATTTATTGTCCTGCTTTCTTATAGCTATTAATCAGAATTCACAGGACAGCTTTATATTTTTTACGATCATTTGTCTTTACTACCACTCACAACAACTCTGTGAGGTGGTCAGCGTTACTGCCAGGTTGTAGAGAAAAGGCTGGAGGCACAGTGGTTCTCTGAGCTTGTCTGCTGTGTCAGCCACGTGGCTGGAGTTAGGGCTCACTGCTTCAGAGCTCCAGTACCTTTGTCCTGCTCAGAGGTCTCCCGCCCCCCTCCCCTCCCTTCCCTTCCCTGAATCTAGCATTGTTAGTAATGGCAGCACATGCTGGAGCACCTGGAGCTGGAAAAGGGGCTCTGGCCTTTAGGAAGAGATTGCTGAAAGAGCAATTTGTTCCCTTGCCCTGCAGCTTATTCAAACTGAGGAAACTTTTAACATCACTGATTTAAAAAAATGTGGTGCCATCATCACCCGGTTTGGCAATGGGGATATTGATGCCATGTTGTGCTTGGTTAGCAGGAGAAACATTTGAGGGAAATTCAAAAAATATTATATATAACTATCCATATACACACACACAAATGTATATATTTGTGGTTCTGACGTGGGAAAAGATGATGGTAGTGTGGATGTGAGAGTGTTTGCAAATTCTCCTTCAGAATCTAGGCCCCAAACTACCTACGAACCTGACTTCACACTTGAGTTTTTCCCAACTTTAGTCAATCCTAATATAGAGGGTGAGGATCACAGGGTTTACAGCTAGAGTAGTTGAGATGATAACTCTGGGTCATTGCAAAGGCAGGTGACTGGGAGGAAGGAAGAGTTTAAACTGAGGAACTCAGGGCAGGCCCTGTTGTGGTCCAGGCCCTGGAGGCCTCCTGGCTGGGGCTAGGTTTCTTTCTCTCTGGGTTCCAGACCCCAGGGGGAGAGGAGCTGCAGCAGTGGTGGGCAGGGTGGCTGAATGCAACGTCCACCAAGCATGATCTTGAGACTGAATTAGCAGTGATAACGAAATAGAGAGCATCGTCCATGTGCCAGGCACTTTGCATGCGTTACCTCATATAATTCTTATCACAACTCTAGGTTATGGATACTATTCCTATTCCCATTTTCCAGATAGATGCTGGAATAGGCTTACAGAGGTGGAATAGCATTCCCACACTTCATGTAGGAACTTGAGAGAACAATTGGGTTCTGAGAAATGTTTGATGTTGAAAGAGATTTTTTATTTAAAAGGCTGCAACAGCAAGTGAGTCTTAATTTCTGCACTAAAGCCAATTAGCTGGTAATGGCCATCTCTGCTGGGAAGGGTGGGGAAGTCGTCCCCAGGCCCAGGGCTAAGGGCTGCTCTGGTCAATTTATGCTGGCTGGGGTGGCAGGAGGGCATGTAGTATTTGTGCTGTGTACTTGTAGGCACTGTTAAAACTGTATTGCAAGAAGAGCTGTAGAATTCACACAGATCAATCTTTTCAGTTTATCAAAGATGAAACTGCCTCCCCACCTGGGGAACTTTCACTCTGGCCTCTGGGACAGCTGTGTTAAAACCCAGGTCTCCTGGCTCTGGGTCCTGTGGCCTTGTCTTTAGCACTATGGGTAAATCCAAAATAGTCCTTGTAGAGAGCGTTTACATGAGAGCAGGTGAGTCTCACGCATTCCTGCACTTTTAAAATGGCTTTAGAGGGAAAGACTGTCAGCCAGAGCCTCTCAGCATTATACAGCCTCTCTCTCAGGTGGTTGGACTCATTCTGGCAGACTTCCGGATATGAGAATGTTACACTTCAGGAAAGATTCACCACAGACTTCCCCGGGGACATCAAACAGTTGGGTTCGATGTTTACAGAGAATCCACTCTGGACATAGAGGAGAGGAAGATAGCTGCCCCTGCAAACCAAGCCGGCTTAGAGGGGGACATGGGTAGGTGTTGAGCAGCAAACTCAGGAGGACGCACTCCATTGGGCAGCGGACTTTAGAACCCATGGAGACACGGATGCGATTTTATAGCCTTGGAGCCATACTCAAGTATTCAGAAACAGGGGACTTCATGGCTGCTGTGGATGTTCCTGACAGTCGTCACACGGGAAAGCTCCCTGTCAGGTAAATTAGACCATTTATAGGTGTGATCACAGCCTCATTTGTTGGCTTCACTCACTGGTTGCTCCCCCAACTCCAGGCTCTAGTCATTCTCCAGGCTCATCCTTGGGCTCCATTATCATTGCCATATTCATAATAGCCAAGGAGCAGTTCTGGTCCCACACTCAAGGGAGGGAGAGGGTCCCAGCAGGCTAACAGTGTACTGGACCATAGCACACTCCTGAGGATAAACTGCATTGTTCAGAGCTTAGACCAATCAGCTTTTGGTTTTTCCTTTGATTATTACATTAGGCAAGTGTGATATATATTGCCTGATGGTCTTTGCCTCAAATTATATGCTGTGAATCAACTGATTGTTCTTGAAGTGTGGGGCAATGCACCCTGCCCTTCTGGCTTCTTCTTGATCTACTCTCATCCCCTTTACCAGTTAAATGAGTAAATAAGCTCATCTGAGTAATCAGTGGAATTGTCAACCTGATAATTTTTCTGAAACTACTCTGATTTCCATCTCTGTTATTGCATACACACGTTCTGGAGGCATCCTCCACACGTAGTGATTGCTAAGGTTGCTAATGTCCTCTCAGAGCATTGCAGACCCAAGCAAATGAGTTTCACCCACTGCTTGTGCTTGTCCTTGACTCAGTGAAGTCTTTGGCTTAGCAGGGATGGCCCCGGGGAACCATGTCTTAACTGTTCTTCTAGCCTGTTCTCTATCACTCTGCCTCCGTGAATGTGAGGATGAAAGTAGAAAGATCAAGGATACTGAGCCAGTCCCTGTCCTTCCTTTCATATGGGCTTATGGATGGATAGAAAATTAGAGCAGCATACTAAAGTAAGATGCACCCAGAGTGCAAGAAAGCACTTCTAATGCTGAAGACTCCGGCAAGCCAATAGGAGGCCTTTTCTTTGCAAAGGAGCAAGAGCCCTCATAAAAGGACATTTTGTCTCTTGAAACTGTGAGGTTGCTTTTAAGATGTGGACAGAATTGTTAGTCATGTGGAACCGAAATCCCCTGATGCTCACTTCACTGCATTGAATCTAGCACAATACATTTGCGTATTTGTAGTGACCTTCTGCTTACAATGAAGTTGTTCCGTGGGCCAACAAAATGAGTCCTCTCCAGGAGTCCCTCTGCGTCCCCTAATTCGTATGCGTGCCCTCCTTGGCAGCGGGCCTTTGCGGGGAAGCAGAGCCCATGCAGGGCGGGGCCGTGCACCCTCTGTATGACAGGCCCGTCCTCTGGTTTGCAACTGTATTTTCAAAGTTAGGAGCCACAGTCTTCTTCATGGAAGATGCAGATTACCCCATGCATTTTGAAATTGTTGGGGGAATATACCAGGAATATTGTACAGGAAAGATTTTTCAGCATTTCTCCAGGAAACCTTAGCAGTTAGAGACTGAGAGAAAAGTGCCATGGGTGGAATCCCAAGCCCAGAATAGATAGTGTCTTCAGAAGTCACCCAGCCCAGACCTCCCATTTACAGCTGAGGAAACGGAGGTACAAGAGGTGACATGACTTGCCAAGGCGACCCAGTTAGCAGGCCGACACTTGGACTAGAGCCCAAGTTTTCTCACTCTTAGTTCTGTTACCCCTTTTCTCTCTCTTTCAACTAACTTATGCTTTAAATTAAGAAAGGGACAGTATCAAGAGGAATATTTCTCAAAATATAGTTCACAGCCACTTATGTCTGAATCACCTTAGATACCGTTAAAATGCAGATTTCTGGGATTCATCCTGACCTACCAAATAAAATTGAGGACTGGGTATCTGCATTTTTCATAAGCTCCCAGTGATTCTTATGCATATTACATTTGAGAATCATCAATGAGGGTCTATAAATGGGCAGGTGGCACATGGCAGGAAGTGACCACGAACTTGTAGCATCACTGAATTTATCTTGAGAATGCATTCATCGTTCTTTGCTCTTCTTAGTCATGTGGTGAGCTGAATGGAGCTAACGATGGCTCAAAGAGTAATTACACTGGCTTTCCTGTTTTCCTAATGCCTGCTCTGGGCATAACTATAGCTATTAATATTACCTCTTTTTTTCCCAACCTGGCAATATTTATCTGTCAGTATATTGCTCTGTTGACTTGGTGGAAGGTAAATGAATGCTTTTCAGGTGTCCTTAAATATATAGGCCCACTCCAGACTATTGATACACAGTACCTGGCCTCAAAACGTCTCTCACTGAGTCCACAAAAGTTCAGGCAGAGTCCCAATTACCTCTGCATGCAGATAATTATTACTTCTGCCAGTTAAGTGAAATTTCTACATTGCTTATAGCAATAAATTTAGTACTATATTTATGCTCTCCGTGGTTCTATTCACAGCATAGATTTAAAATTCCATTTCTGTTGGGATACAGCTCTGAACTGTCCTTCAGTATGAATTTGGCTGATAATAAATAAAATAATACCATAATCTCATTTTTTCCCTCAGTACCTAACAGACTTTAAAACCCCCCCCCCCAAAACCCTAACACTCAATTTACCCTGCGTTCGGGAGAGCTCGCTATTTCCTGGCAGACTAGTAGCTGAGTGGTTCCATAAAAGGACTGAGCTGTGTTGCAGAAACGGGGTGTCACAGCACTTGGAAGTCTCCTTCTGGACTTGAATGGTTTCTGTGGCATGTTTTGCAGCACGCTCTTTCTGACAAGGCGTGTGTGAAAGCCTTCGACCCGAAGACCACGTGCTTGCAGGAGTGCCTCATCACCACCTTCCAGGAAGCCTATTTTGTCTCTGAAAGTTTTGAAGAAGCCAAAGAAAAGATGAGGTAAACTTATTTTTTCTCCCATCTAGAGAAAATGACTTTTTATTTTTCTGGCTCTGTTCCTTCTTTCTATCTATTTCTTGTACCCATGAGAGTTGATTGCATATCCTTCTATTTCTGTTTATTTTGCAGGGAATTTGCGAAGTCAATTACTCGGCCCTTCTCAGTACACTTCAATCCCTACACACAGAGTGTTGAAGTTCTGAAAGACAGCAGAAGTATTGAGAGCGTCGTGCAGGACCTCCGCAGCGACTTGAATACAGTGTGTGATGCCTTGAACAAAATGAACCAGTATCTGGGGGTTTGATGCCTGGAACCAGCATTGTCACCGGCGTGATCATTGTGGGGCTTAGCAGTCAATGTCATATAACACCAATAACTTCCTGTGTCTTGGCTTGGCTAGTAAGCATGCAATTCTGTATATCTCTACCTATGTGTGACTTACTGTATTAAATGTGTGAAACACCATAAAGAACCAAGTGACAGATAACCACTCACTGCATGAAAGATTGTAGTATGTTTAAGTGTCTTAAACAGATTTGACGTTCCTGCTTAGTGTCCCTAACCAAACTGCATCTGTTTAATATTTGTAACAAGTAACTCTTACGATTCTAGCTTATGACCTTTTCTTTCTCAAATCTGAGCCTTTCCTCTGTGTTCAATAGGTAAAATGAAAATAGCAGTGAGACTATTCCTGTTTTCTGTACACCAGTGTTTTCACAGCATTATTTGAGATAAACCCAGAATTGTATGAAACTTCTCATCATATTAACAAAAGATTCAGTATTCTGTTTCAAAAATTGTTGATGTAACACACTAGTTGGAATGTCTTTTAGGTTGAGTTCATTGTGCAATGTAAGAAAAGAGAGCTTTCTACAAATGGAATATATAGGTTGCATTGACCTTGTAGAAACTGAGTTGTAGCATGCTTCCCAGAGTATTTTGGGAGAGAATACTCTCAGAAAGAACATTAGGAGAGACTAAACAGTGGGGAATAATCATGGGACTGTGAATTTTATGCTGGAATAAAGTGAATTATTATGCTCAGGTGTTTAACCCATTTCTCTTAGAGACAATAAAATCATAAGACTTTGCTTTCAAAGATGTGGAAATTGAGTCTCAGAGAGGTTAAGTGATTTGCCCAAAGAAGCAGTTAGTCATACACCAACATTTATAACCCATTGCATCTTGCTTTTGGATTGCTACAAAGTTCAACTTGTATGTGTATATCTATATGTAGTCAGAGAAGGGACACTAGTGGTTATCAAGACTAATGTTTATCACTAGGTAAGACTTGGTTGGGAAGGGTTGTCAATGATACAGATGTTTCCTCACACAGCCCCAAACCAAGCCAGATCTCTGGAAGTCTGTCCACTTGCCCGAAGTTTGGGCAAATTTGGGCAGACAGTAGTGATACACCACAAATCTCTGGCCATCCTTGCCATAAGAGGTATAAGCAGGTGATTAAGTGAATAAATAAAAAACTGCTGAATGAGTGAATGGATTTCATCTTCCCCGATTCCCTCAGCAAACATAGCCACCACTCTCCAATTGTGCTTTGGTAGTGCAGAATACTGGGCAGAGGAGACAGGGCAAGAAAAGGAGAGAAGGAAAAGATAAAGAAGATGAAATGATCTTAAGTTAGAATTCTAAATATTTACTTGAGCAGCTTCCAAGGATATTCTTTTAACAGGAAATTGCATATAATTTCAATCTAATTTATACTCTTATACAGGCCTATTATGAGTCATAAATTTTTGGACTAAATATCTTCAACAAGAAGATGAGAAATTTAAAATATACATCAGAGAAAGGTAAAGTTAAAATGAAAACTCAGAAGTGTGAATATTGGTTTCTTAACTATTGCACGTCTTTCATTGCTGCAGGGTTCTCAGGACAACTGAAGCCTTGAGACAAGATTTGGTGGATGAAATGTGAGAGTTATGCAATTTAAATGCTATTCTAAGTGAAAGAGATAGTGCCTTGAAAAGTTATTGACGGTAGGGAAATGATCAGCAAGCTGAACCAAGTTAAAAGGATCTAGAATGATCAAGTACTTGTATATTTCAATAGTTTTATAGATTCATAAAAACAGAGGTTCTTATAGCTTGCTTTGCTAGATCTGGATGATCCTGAGTAATTGTTTACTTATAAGTATTAGTCCAAAATAATAATCCGCAACAGTAAATCCAGAAATTTCCAATAAACAATAAAAAGAGACTAAGGACAATAGTCCAGAAATTTCCAGAATTAGTTGCCAAATTTTCTCAGAGGAGAAAATTGGCTAAGAAACTCTTAACATCTGCCTTCTGTGTTGTTTTCATAAGTTGGTGGTGCTTTAGACGCTATTAAAAAAAACCCCATAAGTAACTACCAAGCTTTTCCCTCAGTTAAATGTACTAAAAGAAGAACTGTATTTAATTGTAAACAAATTCTCTCAACAAAAATGACATTTGAGCTGTCTTCTGGTTGGGTTACCGTGGCATCTTCAGTTTTCATACATGTGAAAAATCTATGTTGTTTTAAAATAGAAGAGTTACAAAGTAACTAGGCTTTCCCACAGAGCTTATATAGGTATCACACAAGGAGGAAGAATGTCTCGATTCTTTTTAGATTTGTTCTCCATTCGGAATAGCAGTAACCATGGTTTTTACAGTGTAAAACAATGGAATTATGGTTTTCATTTCTTGTGAACATTTAACATGCAAATGCCATTACAACTAATGATGGGCAAAATTCTACAAAATTTAATAGCCATCATAGGAAAAGTATTGGCAGAAAATGTTCCCAACTGGAAATAGTACAACAAAATAATCACAGCCAGCTACTTGTCATATCTGCTATCTACTCAGCATAACCATTTGTCTCAATTATGCCTCATGACTTAAGGGTAGATTAAGTAGATCTGAGGGCGATTATAACTTTAAAGACACTTGCTCACTGTCATCTCACTGTGAACTGCTGCTTTATTTTGGCTTTGCTGCTGACTTCTGTAATCAGCTAATCAGAAATCAACCCAAGGTTCCTAGCAAGACCAGGTTTCTTGCGCATCAGAGTTTGCAAAAAAGAGTCAGATTCTGATTAGTCCAGTTTTCTTCTTGAAGCATTTTTGTCTGTTATAAGTTAGGATCAGGCATCCAGTGTATTCTTGAATGGTCAGTTTATTTGGCATAATAAAAGCATAACAGATTTTTCATAAGTTGCATCTTTTAATCTTTTAAGAATAGGGAACTTTGATGCAAGGTGGTTTAAAAATTTTTTTTTTCTTACTTTAGTGGTACGTGATGTGAAACTTGGGTTTCTGGCTTAGTTTCATGTATTTATCGTGTAATTTAGAAATGACGCTTTATGGGGATGATATATCTGTGCTTGTCTTGCTTGCGCGTGGTAAATGGGCTTGAGCCTAATGAATGTAAAGTATTGCAACATTTACCACCATGAAAAGTCTAAAATGAAAAACAGTGTGCTTTAAGTGGAAGCAAATAGAAATACAAAGTTTCAGTTTCAAATGGAGTCATGGCTCACATCATCTCATTTTCTTCATTTGAGGAGGAAAGCATTAATATAAGATGTAGTTGTTCTCCAATTCATTTGATCTAATTTTCAACTTCTAAAGAATAAAGTGCTGATGCTTACTCTCATGAACTATGTCGTACTTATAATGAAAAAGAAAGCAGCTCAGAGTTTTCCAGTGCGTCTGAATTTTTTTCTTCTTCAATTTCCGGACACATTCACTTATTCTGGGAAATGATTCTTATGCAGATTGCTGTATCCCAGGGAGAGTCACGGGAATTAATAGTGGGATACTGCTTCTTCTCATATTAGATTTGCATGTGTTCAAAATAAACCAGTTCTGGAACATGAAGTGGTGATTCTTTATAATGTGACTTGGGGTCTCCAAGCATTCATTCAGTGGTTTAGACCATACCGGGGACTGTCTCAGACTCTGTCCTAGACACTGAGGATACAGTGGTGATTAAGGCAGAGGAAGTTTATGCTTACTTTGAGCTTACATTCTAGTAGTGAGACACAGGTGAAAAACAAGATCATTTGATTGAGATCATGGCAAATTTTATGAAGAAAATCATTAGGGTGATATGATAAAGAGCAATGAGGGAGGGAGTAAGGTGGCATGAGGGCGTTTCTGAGCAGGTGGCATTTAATGAAGAACCATGGGATGAGAAGAAGCCAGGTATGAAGAGGGCCGCGGAGAGAGTGTTCCTGGAAGAGGGGACAGCAAGATCAAAGGCTCTATGGCCGAAATGGAGTTGATGTGTCCGAGGAAGAGAGATTGCCAGTGGGCTGGAGAGGAAGGATAAGAGGTCAGCAGGGGAGAAAAGGGTTCACAGGGGTCAGGAGTACTCTAAATGCAGAGAAAGTCACTAGAGTGCTGTAAGCAAGACAGGACAGGACCTGATTTATATTCTTAAGGGGTTACTCAGGCTGCTATGGGGAAATGAATCATAGTGAGGTTGGAGGGTGGGGGTAGGGACAAGAGTGGAAGCTATAAAACCAATCAGGATGCCACTGCAAATTTGGGATCTGCAAAGTCAGTATCTTGCTAGATAGTGGTGGACATTATTACAAATAGTTGTAATTAAATAAGTTACAAAGTGGGTAACTCTAAGTGGGTGGGTCAGAAGTGTCAGATGAAATCCTGGGGAAACTGGAAGGACCGGTACCTGGGTTGCTTATCATTTTGCTGGAGAAGCAGACATCCAATGATATCCAGTGTCTTTTGCAATTACTTAAAGCTTCCTTTGACAAAACAACATCGTGTTAAACTTTCCCTGGCCAGCTTTTAAGGACACAAAGCCAGGCTTGGAAGCGAATGCATTTTTTATTGTTGTGACTCACAGATATTGAGTCCATAAGCAAAATGAAGCAGAGAATGGGGCATTATTGGTTAACATTGGTGGTACTAACATATAGGGTAACTCAGGACAAAAAAAGCTCCCTCACCCCTGGGCAAACTAAATAGTTGTGTTCACTGTCCACTCCAGCTGTTTCTGTAGGAATAGACCACATAAATGTAGGGGAATTAATTCAGTCTATTTCCACTCTTCTCGCTGCCTCCTTTCTCCCCAAATGTATATTTCAGATACCCCAGAAAGGTTCACGTGCTGGGATTTCTTCTCTCCAAGAAGGATGGTCTGGTGCAGCAGCTGAAAGTATATTTCCTTCTTTGGGAAGATGATAGTGAGCCTGATGTTCAACCCAAGGGCGTCTGTGGTTATGGTGCCTGCAAACAGCATTCTCATAATCCAGTCTAGATACAGTTTTTATAATTAAACAACGAAAACGTCT